AGCATACGTGTGATCATATTAATGTAACTTTTATTAAATGTTTTTTTTTTATTTGTCTACTTATGAATTGCTTTTAAGGCTCTGGGGAGGACAGACCAATCATATGTTGTCTCAATGTGCTTTACTGGTGTTGTGGACAGATGTCTGTACACTGAATTTAAATAAACTGTTTAACTGTGCAATTCACTGGCATCTGGTTCACGTTGTTTGATGCATACCGTGCGAGCAATCGCTGGTGTTTATTGGTTAACGAAAGCCGTTTTGCAACAGGCTCATTTTGTAGCAGGTAATCGTGACACCTGCAATCGAGTTAAACATCTAAAGAGAGAATTTTGTAAGATAATAGCGCAGAAATCGCGCACACGCCTCTTCCGAGACAGGTATATCTACGTTTCAAATCACACGTAATTTTATAATAGGCGAGTCTGCAGGGCGGACAAACTTGATAGCGGCACAAAAATACTTCCGGGACCCTATCCAATAGGCAGCCGAGTTTTAGTTTCAATTAACTGAGACGTCCTCTGATTGGTCCGTCGGCAAACACGGACAGCTGCAGTGTTCGCATGCCTCCGCCAGTCCGCTAGTGGCGTTTTCGGGTCCTGTGTTGGTGAGTTTGTGCACGTTTTGTAAATAAATTCGTTGTAAATATCCATAATATGAGTATAACTGTTGAATACCCAAGCTGGTGAATACTTGCTGGAATAATAAGTTAATAAAATATTAATGTGCAGCTAGCGGGCTCGCTTCAGTACCTGCGGTCCCCTCTGGTAATTCTCGCTTGTGTATTTTTGAAACCCCTTCACCTCTAAAACAGGTTTCAGTTGCCATATTTAAGAGTTAACGCTCGGCTGCAATGATGCGTTTAATTAGACTGTGTGTGTGTGTGTGTCTGGTTTATAAAAGCGAAGACAGGCGGCGGTTTGAATTCGGCGTGTTTGCGGCCGGTGCTCGTTCTCCGCTGTTGTCCGTGCGGCTCCGAGAGATTCGTGAGGAATGACGGCGTGGGGTTATCAACAGTAGTTAATTTCAGTGTTTTTAAAAAGAGACCATTACGCACAGGTAGACGCGGGCCTGTTACTGTTTTAGCACATTGTCCGGAA